CAGGGACTCTCTGTTGTGTTCCCTGTCAGGGTGGTCATTGGTGGTAGCCAGGTACCATCTAGTTCTTCTGGTCTCAGGCTGATGAAGTCTCTTGTTTATGTGGCCTGTCTATCTCTTGGGCTAATACTTTCCTTGTGTCTTTGGTGTTCTTCATTCTCTTTTACTCCGGGTGATTGGGACCAATTGATGCATCTTAGATGGCCGCTTGCAAGCTTGTGAGGCCCCTTCTTGGTATGGGAGGTTCCCTTCTGCCTGCCCTTAGACCTGGGTCCCCAGGACACCCCTCAGGGCCTGAGCTTTAGAGCACCCATTCTGGCCCTCTTCTGCCTGGGCCCTTTCCCAGGTTGTGAGAATCTGCAAGACCCAGGGGGTATGTCCACTTGGAGCTTGAATCCTACCCACCCCGCACTGTGTCCAGGTACCGGGACCCTGGAATTCCTACTACCAAGGTTGCCCAAGCCTCTCCCTGCGTTGTTCTCCAGAGGAGAACTGTGCCCCTAGGCCTGAGGGTGGCCAAAGTGTGGGTGGGTGGGTCATGGATAGAATGTAGATGTTGGGCTTAGGGTGTCCACACATGTGTCTGTGAGGCCCCCGCTGTACAGAACAGTGAGGGTAGGAACAGAAGGGGCAGGGGCAGGAGCCTCCACTTGTACACTTGCTCTTGTTGTTGTAGTTAGGTACCATTAGTAGGTTCTGAATCATAGTGACCCTAGGTACAGCAGAATGAAACACCACCTGGTTCTACACCATCCTCACAATTATTGCTATGTTTGACCCCATTGTTGTAGCCACTGTGTCAATCCATCTCATAGAGGGTCTTCCTCTTTTTTGCTGACCCTCTACACTCTTACCCTGAACTCCCTAAATATGAGGTGTGGGTCTGCTTTCCTTCTCTTTTCCCTCCTGAGGATAGATCCAGGTGGGAGGGACGTCTTCATTTGTTCAACAGCAGATACTGGGGATGACTAGCAGATTTTGGCCCTTAGCAGGCATGTGCTAGAACTCCGTGTATAGCCGTAGGGGTCAGACGAAGCTGAGGTAGCCCTACGTGTGATCAGTGCGTATGGTAGTGATGGGGCTGAGGGGTGGACCTCGAGTTCTGGGTCACAGGTCTTGGAACCCTGGCTTCCACTTTCCCAGGCAGTGATCTGGAGCAGACAGGAGCATGTAACTGTGAGTTCTGGTTGTGAGAAAGTTATTAGAAAGGAGGACTAGATGTTTATTATCAAAAGCGTAGAATTCTTGCCCTCCACGTGGGAGACACTGGTTTAATTCCTGGTCAGCGTACCTCAAGCAGAGGCACTGTCTGTCAGTGGAGGCTTGCATGTTGCTATGATGCTGAATAGGTTACAGCAAAGGTTCCAGACTAAGATGGAGTAGGAAGAAAGGCCTGGTGCTCCACTTCCAAAAGTCAGCCAGTGCAAACCCTATGGATCACAGTGGTCCAATCCGCAACTGATTACAGGGATGGTATAGAACCAGGTATCATTTTGTTCTATTGTACATGGGGTCACCATGAGTCAGGGACTGAGTCGGTGGCAGCTAACAACAACAAAGAGGTTGCCTAATCCAGATATGTTAAAGAGGGGAAGCTGAGTCAGTTCTGAGAGGGTCTGTTCTGGATTGAATTGTGTTACCCAAAAAAATGTGTGTCAACTTGGCTAGTCCATGATTCCCAGTATTGTTTGATTATCTACCATTTTGTCATTTGATGTGATTTTCCAATGTGTTGTAAATCCTACCTCTATGATGTTAATGAGGCAGGATTAGAGGCAATTATGTTAATGAAGCAGGACTCAATCTACAAGATTAGACTGTATTTTAAGTCAATCTCTTTTGAGATCTAAAAGAAAGAAGGGAGCAGAGAGATAGGTGGACCTCATACTACCAAGAAACAAGAGCCAGGAGAATAGCGTGTTCTTTGGACCCAGCGTTCCCTGTGCTGAGAAGCTCCTTGACCAGGGAAGATTAATGACAAGGTCCTTCCTCTAGAGGTGATAGAAAAAGCTTTCCCTTGGAGCCAGCACCCTGAATTTGGACTTTTAGCCTTCTAGACTGTGAGAGAATAAATTTCTCTTTGTTAAAGCTATCCACTAGTGGTATTTCTGTTATAGCAGCACTAGGTAACTAAGACTGGCTCAAAGTCACTCAGTGCGGTGTGGTGGACTGCTTTTGTGTGGCCCTTCACCATGGTCTTGGATGGAACTGTGCAAATAAGGTAATTTTGGCCAACCAAGGGGATTGATCAGTTTTGCCATCCTGCTAGGCTTAAAAATGAGCTATCCCAGAGGTAGGAAAGAGAGGATCTCACCACCACCAAGAAAGAAGAAGGAGTGGAGTGTGTACTTTGAACCTGGGATCCCTAGTCTGAGATCCTCCTAGACCTAGGAGACAGAGAAAGAGCTGTAACAATGAAGGTGTAAAAATGGTGTGGCAGAGGCGTCTGACCTCCTTTCCCTTCACAAGGAGGAAGGAGAATCAAGATCAACAGCCCAAGGCTGATTCCTGTGAGGCAGAGGTCAGACATGCCTCCTCTCTCTGCCATTTTTACCAACTCTGACACCATCTGTCCCTCCCACGGTACTCTACTTCTCTGCTGGGCTCGATAATTCGTTGCAATGGCCACACAGAACTCACAGACAATACTCAGGATTATGGGGTTTATTAGGGAAGTAACATGTTACAAGTCAGGCTCAGGAACACTCAGGATAGAATTCTTCCATCAAGCCAGCCTCTTTTCAGTTGTGCTCCCAGGCGCACCTCTTTCTGGCCCTAGTCCTCTGTCCTGCTCATGCAAGTGTTACAAAGCTCTTTTAGCCCCTGCCAATAAGTCCCCAGAGGCATCCCAGGCACTCAGCTTTCTTGCTTCGTGGGCCAGGAAGCCCACAATGCCGTCTCCTGCCATCATTTCTCTGCCACCACTTCTCAAGAGTTCTCTCTCTCTCGGTTTCAGGAGCTTCTCAGTGCAGGGATCCAGGGTCCAAAAGACGTGTTTTCCGCTGTTCTTCCTTGGTGGTGGTAAGATCCCCTCATTCCCACTTCTGGGGTAGCTCATTTTAAGCCCAGCGGGATGACAAAACTGACCAATCCCCTTGGTGGGCCACAATTACCCTATTTGCACAGTCCCACCCAATCACTTAGATGAGAGTTATAAGGCCATGGTGAGAAAGGCCACACAAAGCAGTCCATCACACCGCAGTTGGTGTCAAAATAGGTAAAGATGGCGGCGAGAGGAGGTATATCTGACCTCTGCCTCATAGGAATTAGCCTTGGGCTGTTGACCTTGATTCTTCTTCCCCCTTGTGAAATTAGAGGAGGTCAGATGCCTCCCCCAGGCCTTTTTTACACCCAACCATTTAGTGCCAGAGGGGGGACTACAGGGTGTGCTTCCCAACTCCCCTATCTCATAGAATAGAGATCAGAATTAAGATGTGGAGAGAACCTAAGAGGTTGGAACCTCTCAGGATGAAATTTAATAGGAATTTTGTTGTTGTTGTTTGTTGCCGGTGAGGTGGCTCTGATTCATGGCAGCCTTTTGTACAACAAAACAAAACGTTACCTGGCCCTGCACCATCTTCATGATTGTTGATATGTTTGAGTCTGTCGTTGTGACTATTATGTCAGTCCATCTCGTTGAGAATTTTCCTTGTTTTTGCTGG